GAGCAGAAATGTCTCTAACGTCAAGAAATCAACCTAGCTTGGTCTAAGTGTCAAGATTTTGAGTACTAGGCAAACAAAGAACTTCAGCTTTATTTATTAAGCAGGTTATGCCTCATACATGATCATGGGATACTAGAAGAAAATCTCATAAAAAAGCAGAAACTAAATCAATCAAGAAAGAATAGTTTCCCTGTTAAGAAAGCCTAAAAGCCAGCCTTTAGCAATTAGCGAAAACCAAAGAGAAGCGAACGCGAGAGAGGAATCGAAGAAATAAATGGCTAAGAGGACACGCAGTGGGGGATCTGCTACTATCCAGTATGAGGATTTTCAACCCGATTATGCATGGAAGGAAGAAGAGGGGGCAAGTGTTCTGCGTATTCATCTTCCTGGTGAGCTTTACCATTTATTTTTAGGCTTAATAACCCGTTCCGAACGATTGTTTGCGATTAACTTCACAATGCTCTAAATCTTTCAGAATTGGGATGAGTGGAAGTTTTGAAGATGATGTTAAAGAGACATCATTTTTTTTATTATAATTTCTTTCCTGATTATGTAGACTTTCTTAAGGAGCAGTTGAAAATCACTTACGTGGGTTCCTCCCGAAACGTTCGAGTTACTGGAGAAAAACCACTTGCTTACAAACGATTCGATCAGACTTTTCCCGCTCCAGAAAATTGTGAGGTGACTAAAATTCAAGGCGCGTTCCGTGATGGAACTCTTTTGATTACAATTCCTAAAGCAACCAGCACACAACCTCACTCTGAAGAAGAAGCAAAGGTAACCAAAGAGGCTTCTCTGCCTTCAAAAGATGCCTTAGCAGAGAAGCCTATGACTTCTCAAGTCTCTCAAAAACCTGCAATGGAGCAAAAGGCACAGAAGGCTATGGAGGACACTGCAAGCTTTGCTAGCCCTCAAGAAGCCTTGAAAGATGAAAAGTCTCAAAAGGGGAAAGCAGAAGTCCCACCAAAAGTTGATACCATGAAGCAGAAAGATGAAAGCAGAAAGATGCCAGCAGAACCAGTCAAGGAGAAGACTTCGTTTGAACAAGAGGAAAGCATTAAAAAAACAACAGAATCTCTGACAACTGAAAGTGATGGAGGCTACAAGAAAAGGAAAGAATCACTGTTGACTAGTGAAAATGCTCCCCTTGAAACCTCGGAGAAAGACAAAGAAAAGAGTGCTAAATTTGCTGCTGCTGGTACCGAGGAGAAGCCGAAGCGGGATTTCAATATTGCAGGCAAAGTCAAGGACGTGAAGAATGGAGCAGCATCTGCTGCAAAGAATACCATGAAAGGACTTCGCACGATGGAGATAAGTGAAGAAAGGCAATCAATGGTGAATATGGGTGTGGCAGTCCTAGCGATTGTAGCACTTGGAGCTTTCATAGCTTACAGCTATCGATCACGTGAAACTTCCAAAGACTAATTCTTTCAATTTCATGCACTAAGTTGTATACGTATTTGTATTTTACTATAATAATATTCTGACCTCAAATAATTATATAAATCATTACCTTCACTAATTTTTTGTTTGCTCTTTCAAACCCTTAATCATAAACTGAGAATGTGTTTTCCCAGCCAAAGGCAGATAGGACTCCACAATCATATGAACAAGGTAGTGTAATCACTGCAGCCCAAGGAGAGAATCCCTCGTATGTTTGTAAAGTACAATAAAATCATACCCTATAGTCATGCATGACGAAAAGGTTAAAGCTCATTTGAAGGAGACCAGCAAAGAAATTTTTTGAAAAATAAATAACATCATTTTATATAAATTTTTGAAAAATATTCATTAAAATTAACCTAGATAAATCTTACTGGAGCTTAACTGAATTATCTGAGTCGAGGATTAGCATGCCAGTCACTGTATCAAGTTTTCAAATGATTTGAAGCTCAGATAGAATTCGATGATTTAGAATAGAAATTTTTATTTGGGCCAGAAATTTTTCACAAGCCTAGCCCAACAGAATAATCCTTAAATTTCTATAATTCAAGTGCATGTAATAGTTATATAAATGCAGTAAAAACATGTAAATAAAGAAAAAAAATGATTTGAAAAATTTATTCTAGAAATTTCAGGTAATTAATTTTTTTCTTGTATTTCTTAAAAAGATATATTCATTGTCAATGTTCAAGTGGAGGCAACCTTTGAAGAAAAAAAAATTAATTCAATACCACTGAATCACTTTATGCACACAAGAAATTCAATTTCATTAATGATTTTTTTTAATTATTTTTCATGATAATATTCTTTCAAAATTAGTTTGACCCAGATGACTATGTTTGTTCCCAGTACTTGCTATCACCCTCTAATTTAGAGGCCAAAATATTGAAACACACAAGAAGCACACATAACTATCAAAAGAATTTTGTAAATTAGAGTTCATGATTGACACAACTATGGTGATAATATTGAGTAATGGGCAACAGATTTAGGATACAATTGATTAATCTTGAACTTTTGACACTTAATTGAAATTTGCATATAGTTGGGGGATTTATTTGTTGTTATGAAAATACGATTAATTTCAAATGGGGAAAGTGCCTAGCTATCCCTTCTTCTTCTTTTTTATTGAAATATTTTTATAATTCATGGAAAACCTTGTATCTGCGCAGAAACTTTATGGAAAGCCTACAGGCCAAGGAGAGAATCCCTGTCCTAATTCATTGTGTATAGAGGAAGTAGAGGGACCAAAGTTAGAATAGACTCCACGTCAAGAAAACCCAAAACCTGTGTATATATGTATATATAGATAGATAGATCAATTGTGACAACATGTTCATTGAGAGAGATACGAGTAGATGAATTAGTTGGTAAATTGTTATGGCCGTACATCAACCCGTTCGATCGCGATCCCTTTTCGTACCGAAAACGGAAAGGATAGAGGAAGATGAAGCTCTTATATTGCGTGTTCATCTAGCTGGTAGGTTAAGAATATTTCTTGTTTTGTACTAAACCAGATTTTCCTACGGTAACAATTTGATTTTTGATCATGAACATTTCTCATTTAAACTGTGGTATTATTATTATTATTTTACAATATTTTGTAAGCTTATTTTCTGGTAACCCATGCACTATGCAGGTTTCTCTGAGAAGGATATAGATTGTAGGATAATTGCACCATCACATTATATCAGAGTATGTAGTGATCCTGCACTGAAAAACTGGCACTTCAATACAGTTTTTGAGAGCATTCCGGAGAAATTCAACCTCAATGAAGCAAAAACCAAGTTTGATGATGGAATTTTCACCATCAAAGTTCCAAAAGTAGTTTCTGCAGAGATGAGTGCTGGTGCTAGGGCATTAGAGGCCACGGCAAGACAAAAGGCTCCTAGCCTGCAAGAAAGTGATGCAAGCAAGTCAGGGTCTCAAAAAAGTGAAGATGTTGCTGCAAATCAACAAGCTCGGACAACCAGTGTAGATACAGAAATTACAGAAGCCAAAGATGTTGAAGGTGAAATTAAAGGCATGGATGGACAAGTATCTCAAAAGGGTCAAGATCAAATCCCTTCCAAAGCTAATTTTCCATTATTGCTTACCAGAAAGATGGAAATAGATTATCAAAGCACTGTAGGGCAAGTTGGTGATCAGAATGCCAATATTGAAAAGGACAAGGAGAAGAGTGCTGAAATTGTTGATCAAGAGAAAAAAGGGGAAGGAAAGGATATGGAGAGGAGAGCTGAGGGTGTTGATCACGTAAAGGAAGGGGAAGCAAAGGATATGGAGAATGCAACTTCTTCTTCTAGCAAGTCTGCGGACAACAATGTAACAACGGTTGTGACCGAAAGGCGATATATAATAGGGAAATACAGCATGATCTCATTGATTATGGCAATTGGAGCTTATGTATTCTATAACATCCATGGCCAATCTAGAAAGAAATAACCTGTAAAATGAATATGAATATGTCTGCACATCAGCAATATATATTGGATCAATTCAACAAGAATAGCACTAACTATTTAGTTTGATTCACTAACCTTTATATATCTGCACTATTCTTTACATAAACATGCAACATGACTTGCGTGGTACTGGCACCTACGAGGCAGTTAAATTTACACTGTATTTGAAGCAGGTCTCATCTGTAGTTTAATATACTTCCAATTCTTAACGGCTGAGATAAACTATGGCTACAATTTTCTTATCCATGAATAAACAATGAGCTAGACTGCTAGACACCATGCTTCAATTGTTCTCGGGACCATGTTTTAACTTCTCAAACGTCTTACACAAGCCTATAGTAACCCTGTATACTGTCTTCTAATGATAAAACTAGTATCCTTGTTCCCTCTGTCATTGACCTCTAAGTTCCCACTCTTCTGCACCTATCACCTATCGATTGTACCCAACTAACTCAACTAATCAACCATCTAACTATTTCCATCCCATTGTAAGGCAGTGTTTAGTTATTATTCTATAATAGAAAAGATGAAAATGACAGGAAAAAAAAAACATGTCTTTTTGTATTTTCTATTTTAAAAGTACTAAAATTCACTTCAGAACTATTCAAAGATATTTATATTAGATTCTTATCTTTGTTTTTTTAACCAAACATGTTTTTATCTTTTTCTATATTTATTCCTTCTATTTTACGACACTAATTAATTCCCATCAGGAACAAGAATGGCTATGATATAATGGTGGATGTTCCTTATCCCTTAAATACATTAGCCTTGTGCATGTAATAGTACTAGACAGTCTAGAATAAAGTATAGAATTCTCTTGTATGTTAATATGCTTAGTCTCTCCGATCAACTAAAAGAAGTTTGTACGCCTCACAAAAAGCATGACTGGCTCATACTCTACCATGCCATGGAAAGACAGACAGACCAAAGAAAGAATCCCTCCTTTTTTCTATGTAGTAAGCTATACCTCGTAAAGTCCAAGAGGCTATTAAAATCCATTAAAATAAGCGAAGCAAACAAGAAAGAATATCCTGACTACCTATAAAACCAGAAACCGAACATGCAATCTTAAACATTGTCACATAGGTGTGTGTCTGTATATATATTGAATCATTATAGCTGAAATAGAGAAAACCTTTCTGTGTTTCGAAAACAAAGAAAAACCCAAGATACATACAAGTGTAGAAATGGCCACGACTGATCGACGAGATGGATAAACTAGATATGCTGCATAACCTATGTCTAAGCCTTTGGAGTGCTACAACTACCTTCAGCCAGCCTCAGAATGGAAGGAGGAAGATGGAGCTCTAGTTTTACTTGTTCGGATTCCTAGTAGGTTCCAATTGTCTGTAGATGTGTATTTTTTTTTTGGACTCAATTCTGTGATTATATAATCATATTCGTAAGTTTTTTGGACTTGATCACTTAGTTAAAAAAGGTCACCTATTTTTCAGATTTCTGCTCACTTTTTTCTTGGAAAAAGATTTAACGGAGATTAATTATGAAGGTGTCCGTCATGAGCAATTAGGGGTCACGATAGAATCCACAAATGAAATCAAAGTGTCTGGAGAATACACTCCAGCAGGAGATAACAGAACCGTTCGGTTCAGTGCTGTGTATGGCCCCTTTCCTGATAACTTTAGCTCAAGTGAACTGACAGTTGATCAACTCTTAGAATCAGAATTCCAAAAATCATCACTGCTGCACAGATCGGTCCTAAAGAGTCGCAGGCCACGACAAGCCAAGAGGTTGCTAGCCTTCAAGAAACCGGAGACGAGCAGAAGGGTCAAAATAATGGAGAGACTGCAAAATTTGCTGATGACAGAGAAACTACTGCTGGGCTAGGTAGCGGTAGTGTTCAACCAGAGGCCAACAAGAATGAACAACATCCGAAAGAAAAGATGTGGCTACAGCCAGAAACTCTGTCGGAGGATGTTAAGTGGGAATTGAAGGAAGAAGAAAGCTCATCTTTTCTACTTATTCATCTTCTTAGTGAGTTAGACAGTTTATTTTAGGTGTTCTTATAGCTGAAGCTTAGGTTAGTTAAACAGGATCCCCTTTCTTCTTTTTTTGCAGATTTCCGGGAGGACCAAGTGAAGATTATTCCCTTGCCTTCATCCCATGCCTTTCAAGTTCATGCAGAGCGAGCACTTGTTAGTAATAGAAGGAGAAGGTTCAATCGAGATTTTCCTGTTCCAGAAAATTGTGATGTGAATAAAATGCAGGCTAGGTTCCAGGCTGGAGTTTTCATCATTGAAGTTCCAAAAGCAACACCAGACAACCTTGCCCTGAAGCTACCGACAAGGCTCCAATCCCTCCAAACTTAGCTGCCTCTTCAAGCGTTGGTGAAGAAAAAGGTAAGCCAAATTCACAGGAGGGTATAGAAGAAGCTGCAAGCAGGGAGCCTCCAAGGGTCCGGAGCGTCATAATAGAGAAAAAGCCAAACCACCGAATGAAGTTGTACCCTTGAAGTAATCGATGAGAAATCAGAAGTGGAAGATTCTGAAGCTCCAAGCCCTCTAAAAGACACAAGCAAACCAATAGCTCAAAAGGGTGAAGACGAAGCTCTTTGATTCGAAAAGTTACTTCTTCATTGGAAATACATAATAAGGAATATATATTATCCTAATAAAGCAAGGGATGTGGAGAAATTATCACTGTTAAGATTAATAAAAAATAATCTTTATTCACATGTGATCATGCCATGCTCCTTTAGATTGGATCATGGCTGCAGATGTGATAGTTGTGGATTTATATACCTACTTCTAATAATAAATTGTTTAAAAGAAACCAAGTTTAAAAGCTCCCTTCTTTTAATAACGGTTTTCTGACCAGTTCTTAACCCAGATCGCCTGTCCGGATCTTATAACTAAACATGTATAATATAACAGTACAAAACAGTTAATATTTTTCTTTTTTGCTAAATGATATAAAAACCAGTTTCATATCCATGACAGAAGCTCTAGTTACGTCTCCCTCTCAACTTATGTCTTCTGCTTCTGACAACAATGAATTTTCCCTTAATCCAATAATGACATATGGTCCCTGCTGCAGCGATAATTAATGATCGTAATATGTTGTTTAGTGTTAGAATTTTGTTGAAGGTATTCGGAATATCGGCGTAACCCAGATCATCCTCATGATTTTGAGAGTGGACGAGCATGTATCTGGAAGACAAAAACCCGCTACTTTTCCATGTTGCAATGATGTAATTCGGTTCAAATAGATGAAAGTTGGGTCAATTTAGCAGTGGATGTGTGATATGCACGGATGATTATGAAAAGCGGGAGGACTGCTGCGCTCTTTCCTCGTGCAAACATCTTAAAGCAATGTCCAGACAAAAATCAGAGCTGCCCTTTGACATAGACGAAAGCAAAAATAAAGATAAAATTGAAGCTGAATAGTGTTTTCACTAAAAAAGGAAAACACAACAGAAAATCCAAAATTATAAACGGAAGAAGTAAAGCAAACCGAAAGAAAAAGCAATGGAGATCATGAATGGAAGCAGGGTAATGCCATCAAAGTCATTCGTGCCTGTACAACTGATACTCGAAACAGCAAGCATTTCTTAAGCAGGAGGTAGCATACAAAAATTAGAAATCTGGTAAAAAAGATAAACAGATATAGCACAATAGTAGAGACTGAAGGCTCGCAAAACATAATTGATAGTGATCATGACATCCAAAAAAATGAATTGAAGGCAAATACGCTAAGATGATAGAAATCTGCTAAAACTATATATAATTGCACTACATGATCTGATGGGAATTCCTTACAGATTACATAAAAGATTCGTGTTGATTGACCAAGGAAAATAAGAGCACCCACCAAATGATAAACCGAGCACGACAGATATAAAGAAAAACTTCAAGCAATACTGGGAGTCGACAAAGTGGACAGGTCTGGTTCTGAACAAGCCATTCTTTAAGGCAACCTGAATGGAAAACATGCTTGCACAAAGACATGGCCTGGCAATCCTCTCCCTCCTGGAAATCCTCCAGGCATATCACGCAACCATTAGTTCTTGATGTAACTATCCTTTCATCATCGCTTTGAACACGAGTTAGATGCAATATCAATAATGAAACTGTAGCAAGTTGTCGTCTTCTAGCTTCCTCTACTCTTTCAAGATCATGAGGATGTTGATCTTCAAACTGTGGACTCAGAGTTACTTCTCTCTCAAGATCCCGAAAATGTTGATCTTTTTCACGATGCCAATGCACACAAATTGGTATGAGTGCAAGAATAAAGACAGCCGCTACAAACACAATAAGGATGGACACGGAAAGAACGAGATCTAGCATGGATATGGAGTATGAAACTGATTTTTTCTATACTTCTATATATATATATATAGAGAGAGAGAGAGAGAGGGTTAGGGTTACAATCCACGGAAATTCTTCTTTTTTCCTCCTACTACAAGGAAACTACGTTGTCTGTTCTATGCAAGTATATTTTATGAATCTTTCTCCTTAACGGCTTAGGAAACAATCCATGCAATATAGGAAACTTCACTTTAGCCCCTAAGTTTATAATGAATTTCATCCTGAAATTAATCATTCTCTATCTTACAATGTTATCCTGACATGCAATTAATGTTAATGTAAGTCACCAGCTCTCTTTAATTCATACAGATTACTACAAGAATCAGTCTTAGAATAATCTTCAAAATTTTTCAATGAATGATTAATTAATTATTGCATAAATGAAGATGAGTTTGAATTATTGATTATTTTTTTGGGAATAATTACAAAAAAGCTATTGTGTATTACAAAATAAATGTAGGGATTCCATACCTTTTTGTCATAGCTCTAAGGAACGACAACCTTGGGAGCCTCTAAGGTGCGTATACACTTAAAAAAAATCAAATTTTATAACACATGGTTAAAGGTTTCGTACAGGGGCGGAGCAAGAAAAAAAAACTAAAGGGGTCAAATTAAAAATTAAGAGAAATAAAGTTAAATTTTTAATTATTTTTATAATATTTACAAGGGAGGGGGCTGGGAAAAAAATTTCCTGCAGTGACCGGGCCCTGCCAGCCCCCCACCTCCGCCACTGGTCTTTTATTTCCTGCAGTGGCCGGGCCCTGCCAGCCCCCCACCTCCGCCACTGGTCTTTTTAAAATGTATATACAGTTAAACCACCTATGTAAATTAATATATTTGGGACCATAATTTTTTTTAATTAATGAGATACTATTTAAACTTTAACTTTAATTCGGAACTAATTAAAAAAATTATTTAAGCAAGATTATTAACTTAAGATTATACTGTACACTGCTGCGCGGACTGGTCCTACAGAATCGCAGGCCACGACAAGCCAAAAGGCTGCTAGCCTTCAAGAAACTAGAGACGAGCGGAAGTGTCAAAAGAATGAAGAGACTGCAAACATTGCTGATGACAAAGAAACTACCGAAGGGTTAGGTAATGGTAGTGTTCAACCAGAGGCCAACAAGAATGAATGAAGAACATCTAAAAGAAATGAAAGACTTGGCTACAGCCAGAACCTGTATCGGATGGTGTTAAGTGGGCACTGAACGAAGAAGAAAGCGCTTTATTATAGTTGAAGCTTAGGTTAAGAAAACAGAATCCCTTTTTTATTTTGCAGATTTCCAGGACGGCCAAGTGAAGATTATTCCTTTGCCTTCCTCCCAGGCCATTCGAGTTCTTGCAGAACGACCCCATGCTAGTAATAGGAGTTGGTTCAATCAAGATTTTCCCGTTCCGGAAAATTGTAATGTGAATAAAACACAGGTTAGGTTCCAGGCTGGAGTTTTCATCATTGAAGTTCTAAAAGCAACCACCAGACAACCTTGTCCTGAAGAAGAAACCACAGATACCGACGAGGCTCCAATCCGTCCAAACTTAAGCATTGGTGAGGAAGGAGGTCAGGAAAAGAGTACGACTTCTCAATTCTCAGAAAAAGCAACAACTCAGCCAAATCCACGAGAGGGTATAGAAGAACCTGCAAGCATCAAAATAGAGAAGAAGCAACTCTACCGAAAGATACTTCGACCACACAAAAAAGAAGTTATCAATGAAGAATCAGAAATGAAAGATTCCGAAGCTCTAAGCCCTCTATAAGACAAAAGCAAACCAATAGTTCAAAAGGGCGAAGATGAAGCTCCTTGATTCAAAAGCTAATTCTTCATTGGAAATACCTAATAATGAATGTATATTAGAGGTGAAAGAAGCAGGCGATTGATTGCGGTGCATGCTATATTATTCTACAATATCAATACCAATTTAGAAAGTACAATACTTAGATTGAAGAGGTCCATATATACACAAATGCATTAGGACTGATCAATCAATAAGAACAAGATAAGAAAAAAATATTTTATTTACATGTTTTCATGTGATCATGCGTTGCTCTTTTGGATTAGATCATGGCTGCAGATATGGTAGCTGTGGATTTATTTACTTTTTAACACCAAATTGTTTGAAAGAATCCAAGTTTAAAAGCTCCCTTCATTCTCTCAAGAAAAACATCTTTCAGATGTGAAGATTAAGTTTAAATGCTTAGAATTTGAAACTACAATTCAATTATTCAACAAACTTGGAAAGATTTTGATGGGATTTTTATGCTTCTGCAGGCTAATTACAGCAATCTTGAATTTACTTGAGTGAATTTTTTTAATTCAGAGTTCAATGGAAAGACTAAATGTCAAAGATACAAAAGAAACCTTCCTTCATTTGTGAAGAAGGCCATGCCTTATAATGGCCAAGGGATAGTTAAACCAATTCACAAAAGCAAAAGCACCAAATGGTCTTGCTGTTAAGAAAACTCAGAACCAACTTGCAATATATAAATACAAACAGGAACATATTACCCAAATACAGATTAATGGCAAAATTTCCTCCGTCTTCAAGAGGTAGATACAAAGTTATCCGTCTAGTGGATACAATCCTTTCCATGGCCGCCAGCCTATACGCAGCATCACCTCTCAAAATGTTCAATCCAATTTTCAGCCTAAAACAGAATGGAAGGAAGAAGATGCAGCTCTAGTTTTACTTCTACATCTTCCTGGTAACCTTCCGATTATCTAGGCTAATCCCCTTTTTTGCTTTCAAATTCAGCTTTATATTTTCATGCAGGCTTCGTTCGAGCATATAATGTATGTCCACCTTTCCTTTACCTTGAAAAGGTGTCAATTTGAGGTTCACTATGCGGGTTTCTTGAAAGAGCATGTAAGAATCTTGATAGCCGATAAGTAATATCAGAGTTCATGGAGAACGTATGCTCACAAATAACATACGCAGTCGCTTTAATACAGGTTACAACATTCCTAAAAATTGTAACCCGAGCCAAATGAAATCGGAGTGTTCTGGTGGGATTCTAACCATCAGGATTCCGAGAATCATTCCTGCTGTACAAAGAACTGGTCCTAGAGAATTAGAGGCTGAAATAAGCCAGGAGGGTCCTAGGCCTCAAGACACAACATCCTTTGTCAGAAAAGAAACAGAAGGGAAAGTTGTAGAAGCTCTAAGCCCTCAAAAGACCGCCGGCGAATCGGTATCTCAAAAGGGCCATGATGAATCTCCTCAAAAAGCTAATTTATTGTCTCATACCACAAAAGAATTATATGAGAAGACTGCAGGGCTAGATGGTGAAAAAGTTGACGAAAATGTCACCGAAAAGAAAGAAAAGAATGAAGCATACGGGAAGCTATCGAAGAGAAATTAAGTAATTGAAATGGTTTTGGTGAAAGAAGACGAGAAAGGTACTGAGGAATCAAAGATTGCTGAAAGTATTGTCCTAGTGATGAAACAGGGAGTATAACAAGGATATTTCCAAGGAATTTATAAAGAACATGGAAAATGTGATGAATATTTATGTTGGAGCGTTAGTGATTATGGCACTTGGTGCACACTTGTATACTATCTTCAGCTCATCTAAGAAAATCCAAAGCTAGGCTTTCAACAACAAATTGTATCATTGTTATTAAAATATACTCAACGGGCAGGTGATGAGTTGATATATAACTCACCGACTCAGGACTTTATTTGCGTTTGGTTTTAAATTAAATGAGATAAAAATTAATTTAATCAAACTTTATCAATTTAGTAAATTAATATGTAATTTAATTTAATTTAAAAAAAAAAGATTTTATTTTAATCTTTTTAAATAATATTATTTTAAATTAAACCGAGTTAAATTCAATTTGAAACATCAAAATGCTATAATCATAATATGTCAATATCAATAATAAATTTAAAAATGCTTTATTACTTGATTCCTTAATTTTGAAACTTGGAATCAGCATGGAGTGATTTATTTTCTGAGTACACATAAAGATGGAGAGTTGTGTTTTTATGATCGAAAAGAGAGAGATTTTTTTTTAACATATAAACTGATCTAAAATTATTCTTTAATTTAAAAATTAAAATTAAAAAGAAGAATTCAATACCTGATAATTTTAGAACAGCAGTGCTTCGTTTTGGATTTGAGGACCCTATTGAAACCATAGGTGTGTTTGGGACTATACTTGCAATTTTATTAATTATATCCCAGTACCACATGTCTTTGACATTTATCAATTGGGTCCATTCATCAATTTTTATTAATTTTTTCATTAAATGTTTTCCAAAACAGTTGTTTTGACATCATAAATACGTGCAGATGAGACGGAAAGCATGTACAAAAATCGACGAGAGGACCAGATTGAAGTAATATTTGTTTTCATACTCAATAGAGAGAATGTATACATTATAGGTACTAAACTGAAGTATCGGAAAATTAAAAGCCATGCCCTTCTTCCACTAAATTCCCCTAGCTAGCCAGTATCTCTACCCCTCTCTGCCTCTACTTCTCTCTACTGGACTGGGGATTTATAGGGTACCTTCAAATGCTTTGTATTGCATTTGAATCTTTGATAATACACAGAAAGCAATGAGTTTGCTTTGTTGTTATCATTTAGAATATGCAAAATTCAAAGCTAATACTAAGAAGTTTTCTTCTGGGATCTTGCTGCACCTCCACCAAGAAGAAGTCAGTTTCCAATACCATCTTCAGCAATAAAAACAACAACCCTTTATTTGTTTTGCCTTTGCTTATCCTGAATTCTAATGAAACCAGCTTTTCAGTCTCCAAAAGGCGTGGTTTTTGCGGGTATGCAGTAGAGCAGTTCTCTGATGATGAGTATGGGTGTGATTTTGAAAGCCACAAGGTCTGTTTTCTTTAGTATATCATTCTATTTATTATTTTATGAATGTAAAGTTTTTTTTTTGGTGTAAAAGATTGGGATTTTAACGCGTAAATGGTGATAAATTAACTAGAAATGAAAAGTTCTGTGAATATTTTTACTGATTGTGGAATGAATGTGATGGTTTTAATGCTTTGTGCGAGAGTTAGTGGCAATTGATTTGTTGTGTATGTAAACTGATTGATTTTACTGTGAAGAAGTTAGGAAATTTGGTGTTCTAAGATGGGGTTTTGTTATTAATTGTAGGCTTCTTCGTCGGTGGCCAATGTTGATGAATGGAAATGGAAACTCAGTTTACTATTGCGTAGTGAAACAGACCAAGAGATTGTTTCTAAAGATAGAAAAGACAGGAGGGACTATGAGCAGATATCAAATCTTGCTACAAGAATGGGACTTTATAGGTAATGCGGGCTGGCCTTGCGTTTGTTGTAAGTACTTTCGTTTTGTGTTCCCATTATTGATTGAGATTTTGAAATGATGTATAGAAGCCTAATACTTTGTGGTTTGTTGTTTTATTAGTGAACTATATGGAAAAGTGGTGGTTGCAAGCAAGGTTCCTCTACCTAACTACAGGTCTGATTTGGATGATAAGCGGCCACAAAGGGAGGTAATGATATTTAAAGATCTTCAAATGCATTTGTATGGATGCTAGTTCTAGATATTTTGTCAGTTTGGCAGGTTGAAATTTTAGTTTTTCATTCATGCAGGTGGTTATCCCACTAAGTTTGCAAAGGAGGGTTGAGGGTTTACTTCAGGAGCATCTTGATAGAGCTCAATTGAAGGCTGAAAATGTTGGTGGTAGTGCAGATGATGCCATGTCCACCGATCAGACTGGAGATATAAGTTTAGATGAGAATAAGGATTCTTTCCCAGACCATTCTGTGATGGAAAGGATTCTTCAGAGGAGGAGTTTGCGGATGCGTAACATGCAAAGAGCTTGGCAGGCATGATTCTCATTTTATCTTGTTATTATTATCTTTTTCTCTGTTAAGATTCTTTGGGAAGGTGTCCATAGCATTTTAGGCAGCTAAACAATACTGCATGTTTGTAGGAGCAGGGATGATGAAAACCACGTGTCTCATTCTGATTATGTTCTGTATTTATTTTCTTTGGTTCACAGGAATCACCTGAGGGCAGAAAAATGATGGACTTCAGGAAATCTCTACCGGCTTTCAAAGAAAAGGAGATGTTACTCCAAGCAATAGCAAGGAATCAGGTCTGAATATATGACTCATTGGCTCGTTTCCAGCTAATATCTCAAAGATTGTTTAATGTTGGTTAAAAAAATCCTTTTCGTTGCTTTTGATCTCCATAGGTTTGATATCTTCATTCAATTTGTCAATATTTGTTTTCATTTAACCTTTGTTCAGTTTGTCTTTAATTGTTGCACTTGTTTATCAAATGGCTCAGCCATCAAGCAGAAAAAGAAACTTTTGATGGCTATGAAATATGAATAGAAGATATCTACCTTCCCTAAATTTATTCTTAATGAGATGTCTTATTGGTAGGTCATAGTAATATCTGGAGAGACTGGATGTGGTAAAACCACTCAACTCCCTCAATATATTCTGGAGTCAGAAATAGAATCTGGGCGTGGAGCATCCTGTAGCATAATTTGCACTCAGCCTCGAAGAATATCTGCTATGTCTGTTGCAGATAGAGTATCTGCAGAGAGAGGAGAGCCTCTTGGTGAAGCAGTGAGCATTCTTTCCCTTAATAAATTAACATATGGCACACTCATAGATTAGATTTGTTAATGCGATAGTCTTTTTTTTTCAATTGAAATTTTTTTTATTCTTGCTGCTATACCACAACAGAATTTTTTGTTAGGTTGGTTATAAAGTTCGACTAGAGGGTGTGAAAGGAAAAAACACCCAT